TAAATCCTACAAACTGCAACATTTTTATTAAGCAATCAAATGCGATTTTTTAATGATAGGGAGACTGTTTTGTGTGTGAATACAAGGAAACTTTCTAGAATTCTTTTTGGCTGTTCTTCTTCACAAATTAGAGGAGAAAATATTTCAATAGCTTTGACATTAATTTTCAAATATTAATTTTTTATTGAAATACTTTGACATTAATTTTCAAATAGCCAAAATTTTTTAGTAACATACTTTTATAACAAACAAGTTTGCCTTATTCAAATTTGTCCGTTCAACTTTTATTTAATATTTTTTTTTATAAAATTTTCAACTTTTCCATTCTATTCGATTGTTATTTGACATTATTTCATCACACTCAAATAAAAAACAAATTCATTTCCCTTCTTCCATAATTCAAGATTTATTTCGTCTGAAGCATCTCGAGGATGACTCACGAGGAAAATATAAAACCAAAATAACAACAAAAAAAAAAAAACACTTCTTATGAAAAAATGCTTGCTTTAAATAATTTACTCTAATTATTTATTAGATTTCCTTTTCGCAAAAAAAAAAAAAATTGAAACCCCTTTTCTCCAGGCACTGATTTTTTTATTTTGCTTCAAAAGATTTTATTAATTCAAGTTCTTCAACAAACACTGAATGAATGCATGAATGAAGAAGAAGGTATTTTTGAAACAAACTTTTCAGACAGTATAAGAATTTTAAAGAGATGCGGAAAAGTGACAGAAGGGAAGTAATCAACAAAAATTATAAAAAAAAAAACTTTTACTTCATTACGATAATATTCCTGAACAGAATTGAAAATTCTGTTTTTACGCAAAGTTTATTTAAAGGAGTTTTGTTGGAGGATTATTTTGCAGCACATAATAAAATTGTGTATAATTCTAACTAAGTACATATGTATACGTATTGAGTATAATATTGCGTATAACATTAAAGGAATTTGTCAGTTATAGAGAGTGAGTCGGTTATAATACTTTAATATGGTGCTATCATTAAAAATTATTTCATTAATAGGATCAAGAATATCATAAACAAAATATACTTATACTTAATACACATGACTTTTATTTCGAATTGAACTTCAATGTCAGAAGTGAGAATTGTAGTTCATTATTTTTAATGTTTTAATAAAAAAATAAAAATATATAATCAGATTTTTAATTAAAAATTTATTTTTGTTTTTATTATGTTAGTGAAAGTTTTCATTAAAATAAACAAGTTGTTAATATTTTATTTATAATTTTTAGAATTAATTAGTTTGTCAGATTAATGGTATAAAAATATTTATTTAGAAAGTATAACTATCAATTTAATGAAATTTAAGATTTTTTGAATTAAGTATTTTAAATTAAAAACAAATTTTCTTGATTGTAAATTAATAATGGGTCGTTTTTACAAAATAAATTCAATTCACGATCGAATTTTAATTATAATGCCTAAAAACTTGGCGGTATATCGTAACCATGATTTAACATTAAGATGACATCTATCTACATTAAGATGTTATCTACTGTATTTAATGTCAATGACGTCAAAAAACTTACATCATATTTCGTACTGAAATTCGAATACCAGAACATATACCGGTTAAAATGGCACATTTTTTTTTGAAAAATTTTTAGTCATTATAGTTATTTTTTTTTTTGTAATAAAACGCAAATGTTTTTTAAGTCAGGATTTGGAATATCAAAACTTTGTTTACGAATTTTGTTTTTGTTTACGAATTTTGTTTGAATGTAATCAAAATAGTAAAAGTTCGATGTAGAAAAGACTATGGATTTTTTTATTAAACAAATTTCATGAAAAATGTTTGACTTCTAAATTCAGCTTAATATTGGTATGACTTCTAAGAATCGGTTTAATAGTTTACAATAATAATCTTAAATTAACAGAAAAATGTAAGAAATTAGTTTTATGCTAAATGAGCGCTCAGATCAGCTCATTAGTAGTCTACTTGCAAAAATGAAATTTCGAGTAAATTGTAATTGAAATATTTAAATATTTAATTTTTAAGAAAATTTTTAAAAGACAAAAACGAACTTATGTGAAAATAGAGTGAAAAGAGGTGTAAACTAAGTATTTTGAAAATATACAAGAATTCTTAGGCCATTACAGCTTTATTGAACATAATAACTCATTTTTGTAAAAATGTTGGATAGGCCAACAATGTACTGAACGCCTCATATAATCACCCCACTGTAATGAATTGTTAAGGTTATTGTTTAATTTAAAAAATTAAACATCTATTGTGACAAATTTTTTAATGGCTTCGTTCTTTGAGCTTTTTTGTATAAAAAATAATTAAAAATAATTTAAAGGCGATAGAAAATATAATTTTTTTAATTGTTCAATAATTGTAAAATTCATGTTTTATTTATAAAAGTTTCATATATTTTTTTTTTGTTTTTACCAAAATAAGGCTACAAATACTTTGATTCGATTTGGACACCAAATATTCCATATCTTTATTTTTAAATCGTATTATTTTTGTTTATATTTATTCAAAATTTTACAATATTCTAAAATTCTTCTTCATTTTTTTTTCGCTCCATTTCAATCTTTTTTGCGATTATATGGAACTGAGATTTGCCATACAAAATTAAACCAAAATAACAAGTAAATCCTTGGGAACTCTTGCATAAAAAACCAGTTTTTCAAAATTTCTGTAATTTTTTTTTTTTTAAAGAATGAATAATAAAAATTCAAAAACATAAAAAAAAATGAATGTTTATGCTTTAAGTCTCATATAACAGCGCGACCCAAAACATTTATAAGCATAATTTTTTGCGATCATTTCATTCTTTTTGTTCAATTTTTGCCACATTTTTTTTTACTTTTGAATTTTATCTTTTTGTTTTTTAACATATTCGAAATCATAAACATACTGTAATTCTTTGGAAATTATAGAGAACACACTTGTAAAGTGTTTTCAAAAACAAGAAAATTTAACATATTATGACGTCATGCATTTTTATACAATGAAAATGGAGATATTTAAGATCAAGATTTTTTACTTCATAAAATGTAATATTACGTGTATGTTTGCTTGTAAGTGGTTGGTAAGTGGTTATGATTCATTTAACTGGAATTATTTACTTTTTAAAAAATAAGAATTTTTAGAAAAAATGGAAATGCATGAGGCCGCGGTATACAGTTATAGTTATGCAGAAAAGATTTTTGTTTTTTAAATTTTGTTGCCATTGATGCAATTAATTTTGTTTTCACTTTTAGATGACATTTTTGTTTTGCATCGTTTATTTAAATAAGTTTTTTTTTTGCTTTTTCAATTAATTTGAATTTCACAGTTTTGATTCGGTTGAGTTGTCACATAATTTTACATCCATACATATTTGTATTTGCAGTTGTATAAATAATGTAAACACATACTTACATGCTGCAAATTTAAGTTTGTTAAGAAAGTACTTAATTTGTAAAATTACGTGTTATTTAATATTCAAAGTAAAAGAGTAAATAAATTTGATTGCATGAGTGAAATTTGCTTCTCTACTTTTAATGGTTAGTTTTAGATTAATCAAATTTTGTAATATTAAGGAATCAATGCCTGGATGAAGAGAAACGTGGTTCGAGGAGATTAAGTTTTAAAATTTAATTTGATAGGCTCAAAAGTAAAGTGACCTTTCCAAAACTTAATTTTTTTCCAGTGCAACCACATATTGTAGCAAAAATTGTTCGGAGGGAGGGTTAGACTACTTTGCTTCTGAACCCCTCATTTATTATAAAAATTGGAATTTTTTATATTTTTTCATATTTGCTTTTGGTAAATTCAAAAATTCCGTCTATTCAGAAATATTTTTGTATTCAATTGGCCATAAACTTTTCAAAAATTATTGATTAATTTGACAAATTAAAAACAAATTGTATACTTATACTTTAACGCTCATGCAAAAGTTAAAATTCACATTACTTTCATCACTTAATTTTAACACAATAATAGACAATACAAGCATATTCACATAAGCCATATTTTTAATGTGTGTTTTATATCTTGTCACACATCATTTTTTTATCAAAAGCTTATCAATGTCAATAACTGATAATTTTGGAGTTTACTAACATTTTTTTGTGTTAATAAAATTGCTTAAATTTAGAAAAAAATTAATTTGGAGAAGATTATTTTTTATATTTTGTACACAACAACATTGTGAATCATAATAAGAAAAATTCTTAGAAAATAAAAAATATTGCAAAATAATTTTTTAACTAATAATTTGATTTTAAATAAAATATTTTTAGTTTGTCTAGTTTTCCTTTGGAACGTTTTACTTTAAAATTTTGTATTGTTGTTCTACATGATAACTATTGAAAGGAATTTGTTTTCATGTTAAAATATCTACCCTCAATTCTATCTAAAATTATATGATTTATTAAAAAATTTAAAAATTATATTCTGTAAGTAATAGATTAATCTGAGCAATTTACTTAAAATAATTTTAATATAGCAGCAATTTGCATGTAATTGTTATTCTAATGTATAATTTTATATTTCTTTTTAGATCAAAAATTATTGATGCTTGGAAAATTAAAATTTGCTTGAGCGGTGACAGGGTATAAAGAAGACGTAATATTGACCTTAATCAAATAATTTTGCATTAAATTCAAAAGTCTTATTAAAATTACTGCAATGCGGAACTTAACACACATTTTTATTTACCAATTTATAACTTAATTACAAATCAATAATTATTTAAAAATTCTAATATTTTTAAAATTTAAAAATATTATAATCAAAATTGTATTCATTAAATATGGACAGATGTTAAAATATTAATTACAAACAGTGTTTATTAATTATTTAAAGCGTTCTTGATTTTTTTGATTTTTAATTTTTAATAATTTCAAAAATAATTAAATTTTAATTAATATCATTTTGTTAATTATAGGCTATGCTACATATATAAATATTAAATGGGATATTGAAAATAATTTGAAATAAATCACAAAATTATCGAAATTTTTCAATTATCTCTTACCTTATTTTGTATATATATGTATGTATATAATGTAGAATTGCTATCTAAAGCGAGTTGTAAGTTAGTGTATATAAATTAAAGTATCCAAGTAATAATCCAAAAGGAATTTTTGTAGTTAAGTTTAAAATTTTAATTACAAGAATTTCAATTAAAAAATATCTTTAAAATTAAATAAATTTTTTTTAAATAGTAAAATTTTACAAAAAATTGGCAATATTATTTTATATATTTTTTTTTTCAAAATTGAGTATAAAAGTCCTTTTGAAAATTCATAAAATGCAAGAAAATTCACTTTTTTTTACGTTATTTACAGTAAATTTTAATTTGCTTTATTTATTTCTCTTTTTTCTGCTATTTATTTTTAAGAATTCGATTTAAAATTTTTTTTTTATTAATTTTTTCTTTCACTGAACTCTTTAATATTGGGAAAAAAATATATAAAAGAATGAATGCTTCCTTTTTTTTTTATTATCCTTTTATGTAAAAAAACAAGAAAAAAAAATATTAATTCAAATTGTTACAGATTGTATGTATGTGTGATTTATTTTTAAATATATATTTTGTATTCAAATGCATATATGTACATACATATGTATATAATAAATATTGGTATATAATATAAGATTATTTTATTTATGTACTTTTGTATATTAAATTTTTTTTCATCACAATCTTTACACAATTTTCTTCTTTTCTTTTGTATATATCTTATAAAGCTTATTATACATAAAATCGACCTTGGAAAAATTATAAAGATAGAAACAGTTATACACTCTGTATAATATATAAATATATATGTGCATATATATGTATGTAAATAACTGTTACTTTAAAGTAAATCTGTATTCTGGTATATAATCACTTTTATAAGCAACGAAATATACTTATATGCACACAGAAATTTTATGCGTAAATTTTATAGTAGGAAATTTTTTTTTCCGTGTAGATATTAATTATTTAAAATTTATTTTTTCACATATAATATTTATTTTAGAAATATTTCAATATAATTTTTCTTTATTATTTAAAATTCCTTTTTTTATTTTTTAATAAATATTAAAATATTCAATAATAAATCACTGAAGCGCACCTAAAATTAAAAATTATTAAAAATTTTTTATTAATTTGTTTTTGTAAATTAATTTTCACTTATTTAAAGTTGGCGCGTAATAAGAAACGCAAAAATATTCTTCTTTTTCTCTTCTTGTATCCTTTGAATATTAAAATTTATTTTCTATATATATATATATATGCATACAACATATACATTATATATTCAATAAAAAAAAAAACAAAACAATTTTTTTTTTTATAACTACCGTTCAACTTCGAAAATTTCACAATAACAAGATTTTTCGTCCGAACTGTATGAACGCCAGATTTAAACTAAAAATTTTTTACTACATAAAAGAAGAATATTTTTCTTATATTTTTTGTTTTTGTTTTTTAGTTTGTTTAATACTATGGGAGAGCTTGTCCTTGAATATAAAAATCATTTATTTATTTATGTTGCGTTTGATAAGAATGAAGAAATTTTTTATTTTTAGTTTTGTATGAATTCTTGTATGAGTTCGATGAAAAATTTTATTGAACATTTTTTTTCTATACTTTCAAATTTGTTGAATTAAACAAATATACTAATATTGTATTATGTATGAGAAATAATGTTTGAACTGACTGAATGATCACGATGTTTATGTTATTTAAATGAGACGGTATGAAAGTCGAAGATTTAAAATTGAAAGCTGAAATTCAAATTTAAAGTTGATTTTTTTATCATTCAACTTGAATGTTCAAAAATTAAAACAGAAATGATAGAATGCTACTGCAACAATATTTTGAACAGACTCTGTTTAAATTTTTTGTTTAATCGAACAAAATTTTTATGTTTGATGAAACTTTTTTTATTACTGGTGTACATATATTTTGAATTGATGACTGATACGAGTACAAGTTAATATAGAAAAAATTTTTATTTTGTGAAATTCTGTTCATTGGGGTAGACATTGATAGATGATAGTATTTTCTATCATGATATAAAATTTGTTTGATGCAATAATATTTTATTGCTATAAATTATATCAAAATTTTTGAAGCAATTAAATTTGTATTTTAATAAAATTAGTAAGTCACACCACACCGACCGCTGGAAAACAAAATATGTTTTTTAACAGAATTTTCTTTAATAATTGGGAAATTAGTGTTAAATTCCTTGCTATGTAATGTCTTCGGATAGAATATTTTAAGGAACGATATTATTATAAAATAAAGGTTTGTGTACAGTTATAATCGATTATACACATAAATCGATTATATGAGTTTTAATACAAAATGTACTCATATTTTGATACTGATTACTTTTTTATGTTTTTTAATTTTTGTAATCTCAAAAAAATATTTAGAAAGTTTCTTTATCACAAACAAGTTAAAAAAACCAAAAACCACAATTAAAATTTTTTAATATTTTAAGATATCTTTATAATTTAACCATTAAATATCATAAAATCTAACAATTTCTACATTATTCGTCACTTAATCTAATCAAATACAAGAGAGAAAAATAAATTAAATTTAACAATATTTCACAAATACTCGTAAAATTTTTAAAATAGCTACTTGAACAGTTTTCTTTTAATAATTTTTAAAATTCACATTAATTTATCATAAATATATTAATGATATCAATATGGAACTTTTCAACTATTAATCTTTTAACACAAAATTGAACATCTTCTTAATAAAATATTTTAATATTTAACGATTCTATATAAAATATGAACTATATACAAATATATTCGATTAAATTTTAATAGAAAATTAATCTTTGTTTAAGCTTCATAAATTGAATATTGCAATAAAGATAAAGAAACTCTTTAAAATAAAGATGAGGGAAATTTATTTCTTGTATATTCTTGTAGATAATTCAATAGAGAAAATAATCGATAAAAGATAAAAAAAAATCATAGATTAAAAAATTTCCAATTTTTTCACTTCCGTAATGATTTAAATTTAATGTTGCCCTTTATCTTAATGCATTTAACAGTGCTTTATTATTATGTGGTTTGCTCGCTGATGCTCCCAATTTTCGATTTATGTATATATAGAAACCTTTGGTTTTTCTTATGATTTTATATAGGTATACATACTTATATATATATCTATTAAATTTTGAGGTTTTGAAGTAAGTAACCTTAAGAGAGAGAACAAAAAAAAAAAAAGTCTTAAAATATTATGCTGTAAAAGAGTTGGGATATAAAATAATGGGAAACCATTAGAAGTGATGATTAGAGAAATTTATATTGTTTTATTGAAACCAATTTAAAATTTTGACTTATTTTGAAAATATTTTTTTTTTTTTTTCAAATATTTATGGTTTATAAAGATGCTATCCTAATCATAAATCATTTTAAAGAAATAAATGTGTTGTGAATTAATTATGATTTTTTCGATAATTTTTAAAGATTTTCTTTATAAATAAATTATTTTTGAAGTTTCAACTCTAATTGGAAATGCAAAGGGTTATAAGGTTTAAATATTGTCTTTGTATTAAAAAAAAATTTTTTTTGTACCTCAAAAGTGCAGCATTTTTCATTTTCGTGTACTAAATTTATGAACGGAGTTTTAAATTGCCTGTGAATTAAAATAAGAAACCTACTGCCCATAACCTCAACTTTATTTCGTTATTGAGTTTAGTGACTTTAATTTGATAAAGTGAATTACAATTGAATTAGAGAATTTTTTGAATACTTTTAAATTTTATAATATGTTGCAATAATATAGAGTTTTTAAATTAAATCACATTCCTTCAAAAATAATTTTCCTTCAAATCGGGATTATATAGTTGAAACATTTGAGAATAATTTATTATATGGATTTTTTAAACAGCACTTACATATTTGAATATTGGTTATAGTTATTTCTTTATGGATTTTTTTTTTATTTGAAATATCATATCTGCATAATCCTAAACTCTAGACATATGATTCAAAAATTTCTTTGAAAAACCAAAATTTATTGCTAATTTTAACGTTCTATACACAGAAGAGACACAGTACGGTTTTTTTTTTTTTTGAGTAATAAATCATTTCCTATAAAGTGAAAATTTCACTAATGATATATGAAATTCAATGAAGCCTGTCAGTTCATATTGCAAAAGAAAGAAAGAAAAAACAAGTATTTTTTTTTTTATCATTGAATTGAATAGAAAGTCTCATCATATCCTAGTATCTATTTCTGTGAATTATGGTAATGTGTAAGATTCTTTGAATGATTCTTAAGGATATTTATACGATGGTTTAGCTTTTTGGTACTCTCCATATTCCTGTGGTCTCTCCATAAGAGACAATTTCTGATTTATACTTGTTCATATTTTATTAGAGATTTAGCACTAAAAATATTTTAAATGGAATTGTCAGTTTTTCGGTTTTAATTGCAAATTATTGTTTCGAACACAAATAATCTTTAAATTTGCGGCCCAATTAGTATTCGGTTCTCGTTGTTGTCTAATATGATCGACGAAAATTTTGGAAATGTCAATTTTTGACCTCCACTAGCTCAGATATAATTTCTATTAAGAACGATTGCAAGAACCTTCATGTGTCAATGAAAAATGTGAAGGACTTCTCCAAAATCCGACCCTCATTTTTATAAAAATTGCACATTTCCTGGTTTAAATAAGCCTGTTTCCCGAATTCTCATATAGCTGTTTTGCATTTAGTTGTTTTGCATTTTTTCATTTAGCTCTCATTTAGTTGTTTTAGTTAAAATGAACCTATTTCTCGAATCAAAAGAAAAAATTGAAGCAATTAATTGAGATTTGTTCAATATCCTAAAAGTATGCAATTTATTATTTTTATTTTCAGAAAATAATTTTTTACTACGAATGGGTTTTGTTAAAAGATTTTCGAATCAAAACGACTCATATTTAAATTTTTGTACAAATTATGTACAAAAATTTAATACCTATAAATCAACAATCATGTTTATTTGAACAATGTTTTTATTCCTTTGTGACAATAACCAAGAACACTGTAAAAGCAGGAAGTATATAAAAATTTTTAAAACTAAAAATTAACCTTCTAATATTTTTTCTAAACTCAGAAACCACTTCTACATTGCATCATTTAAAAAGTAACAATTTCTATCAATTATACCGGCAAAATGGTAAAAGGAAGTTTTAACGGAACTATAAATAATTGGAGTATATTTTACAGTGTCATACACTTCTATTCCTTTGTGAACTCTTTAACTTGTTAAAAAAATTCAAATCTCAAAGTTAACACATCATTGAAAATCAAATGCACCCATTAAAAATGTTGTTGATTCTGAAATGGTAGAAGTAAATAGAACAAAGGAAATAAATTCAAACAATCAACAAAACATGCAACTAAAATGAAAATAACATAGATTTTCTATAACTCAGTGTCATCATTGAAAATGTGATCTAGTCGTTGGGTTAAA